ATTCTTGCCTCAACATCACACGCCGGCTAGTTCCTTGACCAAGGGCAGATATGCCCAGTGGCAGTATCATCTGTATTGCGTTGCCATTACAGTATAGTTTGACGTCGTAGGACCACTGGCGGTCGCAGCCGCTAGCAAAAGGGGGGGGGGCCAAAGTCACACTCGCGTGACATAACATTTATCCGTCACCGGGAGGGGGGGGGGGGGGGGTGATCGGCTAATTTTTTACGTCCACGAGGTGCCGCGCAGTTGGCATTACTTATGCTTCATCCATCTGATTCTTGCGTGAAATCTTTAAGCTCAATTTAAGGCAAAATCACCAGTTCCATTTCCCGTCCCACGGTGTTTCCACCGGTCGGCCCACTGCACCATGACGACGGATCGGTGTAGCATAGGTATACTGGAAGGTCAGGCACGCGGATTCATGACCTTACCACTATAAAACAATTCGGAAAAGTACAGATACCTCTTGCTTTGAACAAGCATGTGAAACCCAGAGAGCATTTTCAGACTATGACATTTACCTACCCATATAGGTAACATACCTAGTTGTGTGGCGGCGGGAGAGAGTAGGTACACCGACCTCTGGAGACCCCCCACAGGTTCCGAGCTTTCAAAATTGGCATCTGAGGGCCGCGCGCGACTCCTGCGGGGCTTCGCAACGGCTCTATTGGGGCTCACTCAACCTGCCTAGTCTTACTGCTAAAAAGACTGGCCCTGAGCGCTAAGGACTTCATCAGTCTCTGCCAGCCCCAGGACCCACACCGGATCATGGGGTCCCGACGTCGAAATATGAGGGAATCTGAGCCGGACCATCAGGACGTAAAGTAATTTCGATCAGGACCAACGTAAGGCTGTGCCGGAGACTGCGTGAGCCCTCTGATCTTCAGAAACCCACCCATGTATCTTTTCACGTAGAGGCCAGTTTAGGGCCCTCAGAGACCAGTACAGGGCCTGCAAACTACAAAGGCCAGTAGTTTGAGACAATCAGTGACCGAGTTGGGCTCTCAGAGGCTAATGTGGGTCATTACAGGCCAACATGGGCCCTCAGAGGTCAGCGTGGGGCCCCAAAAGACCGGCATGTGCCGTCGTTGGACCCCAGAGGCCAGCAGAGGGCCCTCAAAGGCCAAGATGGGCCCTCCTCAGAGGCCAATGCAGGCCCTTAGAGGCCGGCGTCGGGTCTTCAGCAGCCAGTGCGGGGCCCTCATTGGCACCTAAAGGTTCGTCTTGGGACACCACAGACAGAAATAAGGCCACCAGAGACCGGTGTGAGACCCTCAGACGTCGGTTGGGACCCCTGAGGCCGGTTAGGGGCCCTCATAGGCCAGATGTGAGGTCTCAGAGGTTGATGTAGGCTCTTAGCGGCCAACGTGGGCGCTTGACCGCCACTGAAGTTCCCTCAGAGGTCAGTGTAGGACGCTCAAAGACCGGTGTGGGAGCTATATAGCTGGGCCGTGGTTTTTTTTAGCCTCGTGACGATCGAATAATTGCCAGGGCCCCATACACCTATATGGGGGCCCATTGGTTGTTTGAGGGGGGGGGGGGCAAATGATATGATGGCCCCCTTTATTGACCTTTGGGGGGGCATGGCCCTGATGCCCCCCCCCGCGACCGCCACTGTGTACACATTACACACATATGCCTCTGAGATTACATACTAGCTCATGCAAACTCTATGCAGGCCCCGGAGTTCCCACGCTAATCCTTAAGAAACCAAGCCGGCATGCGGCGTCACCACCGGGCTTCTGAGGTACACAGCACCAACCCATGAGGTCTTACGTCAATCTCCTTTAGCAGGGCCCACCCACCACTGCCGAAGAGGGTCTCATGCCAGCCATTGCTGGGCCTACGAGAGCCTCAAGTAAACCCACGCTGATATTTCATATAAGATCCGGCCATACTCGTGAACCGGTGCCAGAGACGCTGACCGCCAAATTGACAGAATGCGAAACTGAGCCCACTCATGAGTGAAATTTACGTCCTTTGATGGCGCAAGAAAGATCTCCATAAAATGAAACATACGAAAAGCTTTTCTAGGACTTTTGTTCGATCTGAAAGGTGGGGCCAAAAGATAGTATGGCCCCACCTTTCAGCACCAAAGGGGGGGGGGCCATGGCCCCCGTGGCCCCCCCCCCCTGGGACCGCCAGTGCGTAGGACGCGTCTTATTTAGATCATATGAGCTTTTCCGTGTCCCCTTGTGGGGTCGATGCAAACTCTCGGCGTTCAATGCGTCCTCGTCATGCGGATTTCAGTGGGAGGTAGGATCATGCCAGTGGCGTTCGCGAGTGGGAAAGGCTCTGGCCAATGTAATCCTTTTGGGATCATGCCATTTTCAGTCCCAGTCCTCCAAGAGGCGGATATTGAGTCAGTCCACTTCCCACGCCTCACCGAAATCTGAATCACCTCACTCACTTTCATACCTCGCCGACGCAGCTGTCCGCGTGGAAACAATTACTCTCGTCCCGAGACTCGAGATTTGCATTAGGCGTAATGTTTCCCGAGAGAATTTCTGGAACGGCGCCAGAAGATTTTCGCGTGGTTCAGAGACGATTCGCAAGTACCAGCACTTCGCCATCTCGTTCAATTCAATCGACGGAGAATGCAGAAGTGTGTGGTAAATGGCATCACGGTGCTGAACGCATCAGCTGAGATAAGCAAAAATGATCTTAAAATTGACAAATCAACTAAGACTAGGGAGCTTCGGTGAAGTGGCGTCACTTCGGAAAGGGTACCGTTCGTATTCCTACATGGTGTTATGTAGGCCTTTAGCTTTGCACAACATTAACGCGTGGCTTTGCCCGTTACAGAGAATAGAGATTGACTGCCTACTGCCTACTGTTATAGTGTGTTTTGCTGGCTACGGACCTACTTATCCGACTTACGAATGCTACTCCAAGGCGCCGAATCTCACTCCATCACCATACTTCAGTGACCAGCATCATGTTTCAGCGAGAAGCAACATACTACAGCGAACGGCAACGTTCTTTGTCGACCAGCTTCATACTCCAGCGGTCAGTTCCATACTCCAATGACCAGCACCATATTTCAGCGATCAGCGCCTCACTTCAGCGAACAGCATCACACTCCAGCGAACAGCATCCAATGACCATCATTATACTCTGCCGATCAGCTTCATACTTTTGTGACCAGCATCGTACTCCAGCGATCAGCACCATGCTGTATCGACATCTGTATCATAGCTAGCGGCCGTGGACATACGTCAGCGGGCAGCGTCGCACGTCAGCGAGGCCGTCCCCTGTGACCTGTCTGACCCCGTGCGCAGTTCGCCGCATCCAATTACGAACAGGGGATACAGGGCGCGCGGCGCCGCTAGCTAATATCCTTAGGGGCTCTGGCCCTCGGCACTAATTAGGCTCCGTCTGCATGCGCACATGGGCACACGCGAGTTGTTACGAGCTTAGCGAGGATGCCTGTGATACAAATACATTCGATGTACCTAGTCGGCGTGGTTCTTGGTTATTGAATCCCTTTGGAAGGTACAAAATTATAAGCTTACAAAGTATAGTAGTGAACTTAAACCATGCTGAACGGGTTGTTTGGCTCTATCCTCCCTTTGTTTATTTCGTTATTCACTGTGTATGGTATCCACACCGCCTGCAATCTCTTCGCGAGCGCCCGGCCGCTGAGGCTCGCCATATGCTGACACTTGTGACGTCAGAGGCGTGACGTGGTGTGACGTCAGTGGAGCAGCACTATCGCGTGACACCCTGTCGGCGTGCCTCCCCATCGACCTTCCCCCTCCCCCCCCCCCCGGCGGGCGGGTCACACAAACATGCAACTCGCCGGGACTGGGTCGGCCGGCACTGGATGTCTTGTTGGCCGGACTGAGACTGTGACTGTTCTTCCCGTCTGTCTGGGACTGAGTCTGGGACTGAGAGCGACTGAGTGAGGGACTGACCTCGGCTCTGCGAGCGGGAGGCATGATCGTCTGATACCAAAAATAACGCGCAATGAAATAATGATGGCAATTGGTGGGGTAATATATCAGGCAGAATGTGGTCGATCATGCCACGGTCTGGCGGGGGCAATCAACTATTCAGCATCCTCTCCCTCCATCGCCCTTCCTCTCTCTCTCTCTCTCTCTCTCTCTCTCTCTCTCTCTCTCTCTCTCTCTCTCTCTCTCTCTCTCTCTCTCTCTCTCTCTCTCTCTCTCTCTCTCTCTCTCTCTCTCTCTCTCTCTCTCTCTCTCTCTCTCTCTCTCTCTCTCTCTCTCTCTCTCTCTCTCTCTCTCTCTCTCTCTCTCTCTCTCCCTCTCTCTCTCTCTCTTCTCTCTCTCTCTCTCTCTCTCTCTCTCTCTCTCTCTCTCTCTCTCTCTCTCTCTCTCTCTCTCTCCCTCTCCCTCTCCCTCTCTCTCTCTCTCTCTCTCTCTCTCTCTCTCTCTCCCTCTTTCCCTCTCCCTCTGCCTCTCACTCTCTCTCTCTCTCTCTCCCTCTCTCTCTCTCTCTCTCTCTCTCTCTCTCTCTCTACCTCCCTCTTTCTCTTCCTCGCCCTCGATCCCACTGGGACCATAACGCTATTCAGTACTAGTCCGCCCAGCATAATTGCCGACACGACCTCCGATAATAAGTACCTATGTCGTATCGCACGAGTGGCAGCCTTCTCAGACCCCATCGCGCTCTAACAGCCCCCCCCCCCCTACTCGAAGCACCCCTATTCTTGGCAGCTCCTTTCCCATCGATGACTGTTCCCCGTGTTTACCTCAACACCTTAGTCGTAGAAATGGCTGGGTCTATCTTCCCTTTGTGTGTTTCAGGCGGAGAGCCGTCCGTGTGTTCAGTGTTTCAGTCTGTCCATTGTCGACGTGCTGAGTGTTTCAGTCTGTCGCCTAGCGGTGTTATCAGTGTTTACTCCGTCGCCTATAGGCGTGTTTCCGCGTTGTACCCCGTCGCCTATCGGCGTGTTTCAGCGTTTTACTCTACCCCCTATCGGTTACCCACGTATTTAGTATGTAACTCTGTCGTCTTTCCTCGTGTTTCAGTCGGAGAGGACGACGCTGGGCGCGGCTGCCGACTGTGACATCGTGCTGGAGGGGGCCGGCATCGCCGACCACCACTGCGTCATCACGCTGTCTGACCAGCTGGGCGGCCTGCTGACCGCCATTGGGGACGCCGTCTGCACTGTCGACCAGACGGACGTGGAGCGAGAGCATCGGCTCACTCAGGGTAGGTAGCGACACTGTGATGCCTTGTGGAGCGGCGAATGATCCAGAGTTCGTACTGGGGTACCCACACCGGCTCGCCCAGGGTATGTGCTGTCACTGGAGTGCCTCCAATATAAAGCGAGTACCGGCCCAACCAGGGCTCACTTCACACTGATAATGCAAATGATGCTTCCAAGCTTCGGTAAGGTTTCATAAAAAGATAATTATTGTATGTTTTGTCGGAAGACGTTTGTATCTGTTCCAATCAAGGCATGTTGATACATTGCTAGTGAAAACGATCTATTTTCATGGAATAATCACATTTCATTTTGGAGTTAATGCTAAATATCAGTCTATGTAGTTACTGGCAGCAGTTGTATGGCGCGCAGTGCATCCAGAGAGCACTGCATATGTAGGTACACAGTACAAATTCCAGTACCGTTGGTTGATGAACACTCAGCTGAAAGCCCATACACACTAATGCTGCCACTATTGGAGCTTCCTGACGGACACGGAAGCATATGTAAGAGTGCGGTGGGCGTAGGATGAGGCCAGGATTTCCTGAAAGAGCGACCTGACAGTGCTCTTAGTGGCGTACCTATCTTTGATGTCGGCTGTCACTGCGCATATTCTGCTTGGCATGAATATTGTATTTACATAGATTGATGCATTTTATGGTCATTTGAGGAAAACGGGCAGTTTTCCTGCATAATTCAGTGGGAGACACTATTCTTGCCTGACCTTTCGGCCGGCGCAGCTGTGTTTTTATGCGCATTTGAGGAAAACGGGTAGGTTTTCTTGATTCAGTAGACTATTTCTCACATGACCTTTCGGCCGGCACAGCTGTGTTGCCAGTGAATCTCAGAGCCCTCGCCGTTATTTGCCGCCCGGCTGGCAGTGTCGGCTATTTACCGAGCCGTCGGGAGCCGTGTCTCAGGCTGCGGCTCGGGGCTCGCAGGCCGATACCGTCCCACCGTGCCGCGCGGCAACCCCGTCGGCTCCGTTACGAATGGTCCAATTCTCGGGTGGATTTGGAGCGCGTTCTCTGGGGAGGTCTCCGCGTTATATATGGCCCCATCGGAGGTCGGCGCGATGCGGTGCCTCGATCGCTCTCAGGTGTGGTAGGTCGGTGGATAGCCAGACGGCGCAGTCGACGGGGTGAGTTGGATACTTCTGTCGCGGGAAAGATTGATTCCTCTGAGTGAACGCCACCTGCCACACATGCAGCGATGCAGCATGCATGCCAGCTGGTGTAGGCATGTGGTGTACGCTTCAACATCGCACAAGTGTGTGTGACCTTATTATTGCGATGTGTAATGCTTCATCCCTGCAATATTGTCCTCGCTTGAAAGGCATTTAAAACGTCATTCACTGTTGCACTTAGGTGGCCAAGTTATTTTACTCTTCTGGTATACGGCTATAAGGCTTCTTTTGGTATTATTTTACTCTTCTGGTATAAGGCTATGTTATGTTAAAACTTTGTTACTGTTAGGCCGCTTTCGAATCCCTGTCACCAATCGTCCGCTCCTGCGTATGTGCCTTCTCGTTAAAACGACGCATTGCAAGTACTTGTGTATTTTCGAGCCATTTATTATACTACATTTACTGCCCAGTCTGAGTCTGAGCGCTGTTTCATGTCCGTCTGAGCGTACCTGACTCGCCGGTGAGGGGTGGATGCCGCTACTTCCTTCCGGTCGGCGAATCTGTCTGCACGTGTCGGGGGGTCGTTTTACTGAGCGCGTGGGCTTGACTCCTGCACCTGGAATACCGAGCTGGCCCGGCCCGCCCCCGCCGCCGCTGCTGCTACCGGAAGGATGGGCTAGAGCGCTGAACTGGTGATGAGCCGTTCAGGGGATTCTGGGGATAGGTGCAGGGTTACTGCCTAGGGAGCAAGGTGTGGCACCTGCACGCCGTACCAGCTTGCGCCCAGGATGCTCTCACTTCCACAATGGTTGGTGACTGGATGTGGAGATCAACAGGTGTCGTATTGTGAATTTCATTGGATATATTCGCTCCAGTTGGCTCAAGGTTTTGTGCTCGTGTGTTCCAGTAAATAGCGATGACGGAGCTATATATCTGACACATAAACATAACGCTCCTTTGCCGGAGCATGCAGACGGACGAGGCGCACTGGCACATGAGCGCTCTCCCCTTCCTGCCGATTCTCAAGATCCGTGCGCCGTAAGAGAAGTTTTTGATATCGAAAGAGAAGCTTTCCCGTCTCTACTGAGTCCCCGTTGTGACGTTCACCACTCAACAGCCGGCGCCGGTCGCGCTGTCCTGTGTCCCCATGGACCATGGACCACCGGTCATTGGTCATCGGTCAGGGGTCATCGGTCAGTGGCAGCCGTCCCGGCCCGGCAGAACATTCATCCTCTCCCGCCCTGTCGCGCGCGTCGCTCGATTTAGTCGCGAGTAGCACCTGGGCCGCAAGCTAGTGGTCGCAGTGGTAGATGGACAGCGTCCGACGTCTGCCACGCATCATTCTTATTACTTACATGCACAGGCGCGCGGTCATGGCTGTTTTGTCCGCCCCCGGATTGGCGCTGCGACCTTTCAGAGCGGATCGCCGCGTGACTGACGGTGCGCCGGTAATCGCCCGCCGTGTTTGGGGTCCGCCTGTGCCATTCGCATCGCCGCGCGGTGACCCGGGGACTGGCGGATCGACGCGTCGATGGCGACACGGGCACCTAATGGCGTCACGGCGCGCTATGAATGCCGCCGGGCGCCGGCCAGTAGGAACGATGGAGGACGGAGGATGCGGAGTAGAGAGCGGAAAGGCTAGAGACAGAAGAGGACAGTTGGAGAGTGGAAGTAGATGAATAGGGGAGGAAGAGGACAGATTCATGGGGGAGAGCGAAGAGCAGATGTAGGCCACGGGTGGTGGAAGAATGCAAATGGTGCGAGATGCAAAGTGCTCCGTGAGTGGAAAGGTTAGCTGGATGGGAGACTTGAGTGCAGTGCCAGATCCTCTACTTATGGCGAGCACATTTGTGTAATTGATGTGACATTTTAACTTTTTCATTGTTTATCAGCAACATTAGACGGAAAGAAATGCTGGAAAGGGTTCCGGAATCTAGTTGCATACCTAAAAGCTGAAATTGTCGAGAAAAGCCAAGAAGTTAGTGCCCACGTGGCACTTGGAGGCTACATTCGTAGCACGTGCTGAAAAATAAATGCAGTGTATTATGCGACGCTCAAGATAAACCTTATCATTGAATTATCATGGAAGTCAGAGTCTGCTATCCAAGAAATTACTTGGCTCAACTTCAGGCTGTACCCAAAACTTCCTGATAAGGCTCCGTAACTTTGAAGGGAATGTTGAAACAATCTATCTGTATCTAATTATAGAGCGGAGGTAACGGGTCACAAAGGGCTCGGAATTTGGCAATGTTAGACGGTAGCCTGTGGTGACGCAGGTGGACGACTCTTGTAATCTCGTCTGGCCTTTTCGGACCAGACGTGCTGGAATGGCTCAGATTGCGGTCATTTGGCGGTGAGGTGCACCAATGAGGTGTAACGGACGATTCCAGCTGTGGTCTCGTGCTCTGGAGGCAGCTTTATTCACTGTCTGAATGGTAAATTTAAAAGAGTGTCTTTCATTCTTTTAGTAACACACACCGAGGTTTTACATTGAGAAGAGCAATTAGCAAAGTTGAATGATAAAAAGACGGAAGTGAGTTTAATTAGATTCAGTCATGTTGAGGTGTTTGGACCAGTGCTGCTGCCGTTTTCTGCAAATACAAAGCTTAGTGAATACAGTGCTCCTCTTGGAAAAGCACCGCTCAGCCAAATTTTCGGCAGTAAGATGTGTTTTTTTTAACATCTTCGAAAGCATTACCTTAGGGAACCAGCTTTTTCATATTTTGAAAGGCCTCGTTACGAAGTTGGTGGCGCAAATCTGCGGTACAAACTCTTCAACACTCTCCAATTTTACGAAACTTGCACTAGTTGATCGCAAAATAACTGATCCCGGTAACTTTCAGTCGAGTTTTGATTCACTGCCAAAAACACGCATTCACGGATCCAAAGTTTGAAATACGGTATCGTAGTAACGCTGTAAACAAACGCTGTATCGCTGTATGGAGTCCTGACGTGTGCCGTGTAGTCCGCGTCTCACCTACCTACCTACCCTCAGGCAGTCAGCAGGACTGGGTCGGCAGGTAGGCACGCCGCTAGGGGCCCTGGGTTGCGATCGGTGGGGGCCATCTTTGTCGTGGCTTTCGGGTGTGCTGGGTGGGACAGTGAAATGCGATGGGACGCGAAAAGGTGTCATGGTCATTGTGGGACGTCATGGGGACGGGATGGGATGCAATGGGACGCATGCAGAAGCATGCCATGCGGGGTGGTGGTATGCGATGGGTCGCTCTGGAATACATTGGGAGTGAACAAAGTGGGATGCAGTGGTTGCTGTGGGATGCGGTAGTAAGCCTTGCTAGGAGGCTGAGGGAAGTGATGGGGCGCGGTAAGACGTAATGACAGTGGTCTAGATCGATATGTCGGTGGTATAGCTTGCTGATTGCGTCTTCGCGTGCCACGAGTCCCTGAGATACCCCGTGTTTTCAGCGAGGCAGTGCGCGGAATCGGTGGAATAACATCGGTATAAATTTACAGAACTCTGGCGGGAGTAAGAGGATTCCCACTGAGTGTGGTCGGAGGTCAGGTGACCGCTGCCGGCTTCCAGCCTTCACCTGTCTGACTCGAGATGTGTCGATCCAAACTTATCCCGGAATCCAGGGCTGGAAGTTTGCATTGTTTGATATCAGTGAGCTGCGGCGCAAAAGCCGACTCGCACATAGTTTGATGTTGCTTTAGAAGTTTGGAATGTTTGATTCGATGATCTGTAGAAACGCACATCTGTGTGCTGCTGTCAAGATATGGTGGTCTCCTTTTGATTCAATATGTGCGTGTCTTTGATGCGAGGAAACTAACTCTGTGTACCAGCGCTATATTCCGTGAGCGCTACCTTGGCATTGCAAACACGTTGACAGAGTCGTTTCGCATTCCGTCTACGACCCGCGGGAGAAATTTGACCGCCTCGGTCGCTGAAAGCCTGCTGACATTGATGCATCCTACGGAATGCGTGTGTCATCACTGAACATTCTCCTAAAAGCGCCACTGAGTGTAGCAGCATCATATCCAGGGCCATTGTAGGTCGATGGCAGAGTAACCAAGAGGAGCTGTGAGCCCAGGGCTGGACTTCCGTTATGGAGGCGTATGCAAAGATACTTTATGCTAGGAAAACAGATGATTTCTGCGGGAAACATTTCATTTAGGGGTGTGCCAGAAGAGCAATTCTTTTGTTGATAAGTAGATCGCTCTTACATATTTGTAAAGACATCAAAGGTGTGACTTCTCCGGTGTTTAATCATGGCGAAACTTTGCCCAGCGTTGCTACGAAAAGTGCCTACTTCTCTGCATTGCATTCCAATAGTGCACTCAAACTACGTCTTAATGACGTTTACAAGCACAGGCTACTGCGCAGAGCGAACTCGAACCGAGATAGGGCATCGCTCATTTACTCATTGGTCCTGGCACTTAGTCACTTTCCATCGGTTTGAACGAAACAAGCCGACTTTTAGACAGTCGTTTGGTCGTCGACTGCCCAACTGTTCATAGTCCCAGTCACATACGTACACTCTTCCGGGGAAGGATAACGCCTCCATTGACTCCTACGCCGCTAGTCACAGTGCCTCTGTTAGGTTACATTGGTTTTATTCTGTTCACTGTGCAGCGTCACCTGTTTTTGTTGATACGATAGAAGCTTGTTACGATAAGAAGTATGATTTGCTACCACATAAGCGTAGTGGTGTGCGGTGCCTGAGCCTGTTCCAAACTTGAGTTATTATACCACATAAGCGTAGGATGATGCGCGGTGCTTACGTAGCAGTCACATCTCTGAAGTAGGTGCCTGACACGGAGACGGACCTGTGTTTGTGGGTGCCGTCGTGCCCGTCTTACGTTTCTCTCGGCGTGTCGCCAGCAGGAATGGCGTCAAAGATGGCGTGCTGCCGTGACCCCCGTTCTATAGCGTGTCCGGCGGCTTTAAGCACGCCAACAGCCTGTGACAGTGGGTCGCCGGATCACGCCTTTGACGCCAATGGTCGGAGCTGTTTACACTAAGGATGTCCAGAGGATAATGGACCTGTTTTGGCCCGCCTGGCAAACGACCCTCAAAGACGCAAATGTCACGGGGTAGAGGGAAACGATGTTCTGAGGAAATGGGGATATTGATATGGTGTTCGGTAAGCTGTGGGGGAAACTTACACATCCCGGCTTACTTGGAAAGATCTATCTACCTGTGATTATGCTTTCTAGTGTGTTATGTTTCTTCTTTCGTTTGTTATATTATATGTTTTTACTTGTGTTCAGTCTTGTATAGTGTAATTTACTAAGTCGATCCGGGGGTGATGATAGACGTTAGATAGTTCGTTAGCCATGTCGGTATTCTTTTTGACATTATTACTGCTTACTTTGCAACTAAAAAGATCAGATTTACGTAACTTATTTTTGCCATCTGCGCTTAATTGTTCTATCTTTTTACGGTTGCATCATACGTTGCACAGAAATAATGCAAAATTGTGTTCAGTTATCTTTGTAATCTGCACTTAATTTCCTCTATCGTTGTGTGCTGGTATCACAGTGATGAAGTAATAACACTTCAAACAAGACCCAATTACTCTGGCAGCGTACCTAATTTCATTTATGGTGTGCATTGCGGAATGTCCCCATAGGCCATAGAGTGGTTTAATTAGCTTGGCTCTGTCTCACGCGTCATAACCAACTGCCCAATGTCTGTGATATGCGACCTTGAATCTGTGGTGGGCGACGGTTGATTCAAATGCCTCTGAACATAGATTGGTGATACAATAGGCTAGGATTTGTGTGCGGCTATTCAATGGCCTTTAACTTCAATACCTTGTAACCGGTAACTAGTGGCTTTCTGCCCCGCTCTAAAGACTGTAATTAGGTGTTCCCTTGCTTTACTGTTATTCGGACTCGGTATACCTCACTCCCTCCCTCTTCTTCCCACTCACTCACTCACTCACTCACTTAATTGCTCTCTCCCCTTTCTCACTCTCACTCACTCATTCACTCACTCACTCACTCACTCACTCACTCACTCACTCACTCACTCACTCACTCCCCTCTCCCTCCGTCCGCAGGGTGCGTCATCACGCTGGGCGAATGCTCCATGTTCCGGTACAACAGCCCGGCAGAGGCGGCGCGACTGAGGAGGGCCGGGGTGCGCCGCGCCTCCTCCCGGCTCTCGGTACTCTCCCTCTCTGCCTGCGACCTGGCTGCTACGCGCAGTGTCGAGAGCCTGCTGACCGCCGAGAAAAGGTCAGTCAGGGCGCTCAGTAAGCAAATATACCATGCCAGTGATATTAAATACGAAAACTGACTTGCATGTCCCGTTGTTATACCTCCCAGCATCGCAAGTAATTTACAGCCCATACCACATTGGATTATTTTCTTATTGACAAAATATGACGGCTCTGGATAACTGCAGGTTGTTTGAAAATTGACAAACACTATTTGTTAGATAATTGATGGCTGTCTCGGTACATTGTTGTCCTAAATAGTCTCTTCCATCACATTATTGTTCAATAGCGTGACATCGTTTGAACTGTCATTTTGCTTTGATAGAAAGACATTATTAAACTTAGGCACATCCGTGTTTGCAGAGTTGCGTGCGTGTTATTGTCAATCGTCGTTTCAAATGGAATATTTTATCTTTTTGCGCGACCAGTGCTTTGCTGGCCGATGATATAACAATTGTCCTATATCCCTGAAGTTGATGGCTCAAGAGCTTTGTATGTATAGCTGATGATATTACTTGATATTTGTTTTGAAAAAAAAAATCTGGAGTCTTTTTTTTTAGTCTGGAGTTTTTGTGTTTACAGCACACACCCATTTTTATAAACAATTTTTATTTACAATTTGTAATACTTTTATCAGTATAAAATGCAACATAATGAACTACTTGTTGCATGCAACACTAATGAAATAGTAATTAATAGCACTTACATCATGTTTCGCCTGCCTGCATTTCGGTCTGTTATGTTACCTACCAGCATAAGCTGGAGACCCTGATTCTAAGCCGACAATATGTCGCCAGCTAGCGTGTGTAAGCTGATTAAAAGTGCAGCTATCAGAGTCATATATATCGCTGCGATTCGGCTGAACCTTCCCAGGCCCCTGGGGAGCGATGCTCTATAGTTGGACGGCTCGTCTTTGTTCTACGATTGATCCTGGTAGCCCATCTGTTATCGTGAGCGTTTCACGCTATGTGTGGGACCATTAGGGCGAGCGGTGGCGATAGTGCTGGGCTGAGCTGGTACGATGTAAAAATAGGCTAATGTAGCACCTCGGAAAGGAAGGAACCAACATTGGCCAGTGAATACACAGTGGTGGGCTATTGATTTACGGTATTTTTAATGGAAACCGTGTGCTGGAACAAAGGGATTGTAGAAGCAATGGCATCTTTATTGAATGGATGTTTAATTGGATCATATATTTATACAGCAAGTGTCATTCGAGATTTCCTGTGATCCTCCAATCTAGTCATGGATGCTCCGCTCCGCCCGTATGGCTGTTCCGGGGGCAGTGGGGCGATGACCCTCGGGTCACTGGGACGCACCGCCCCCTCACCAGCGAACTCGGCGCGCCGCCGACCTTTCGTGGCGCACGTCATTTATCTGCGGCGTCCCCGGCCTGTGCCAGCACCAGCGGCCGCCCCATGCATCGGCTGACCTTTGCCGGGGCACGGGCGCGCTCATAATTGACCTCGTTTGGCGCGCGAGACCGGCGGTCGGCAGCTGGCCCCGGCCCAGACGCCGGAAACGGGCCCTCACCGCCGGCGCTGGAGACCGCTGGGGGCTCTGCGCTGGAGACCGCCGGGGGCTCTGCGCTGGAGACCGCCGGGGGCTCTGCGCTGGAGACCACCGGGGGCTCTGCGCTGGAGACCGCCGGGGGCTCTGCGCTGGAGACCGCCGGGGGCTCTGCGCTGGAGACCGCCGGGGGCTCTGCGCTGGAGACCGCCGGGGGCTCTGCGCTGGAGACCGCCGGGGGCTCTGCGCTGGAGACCGCCGGGGGCTCTGCGCTGGAGACCGCCGGGGGCTCTGCGCTGGAGACCGCCGGGGGCTCTGCGCTGGAGACCGCCGGGGGCTCTGCGCTGGAGACCGCCGGGGGCTCTGCGCTGGAGACCGCCGGGGGCTCTGCGCTGGAGACCGCCGGGGGCTATGCGCTGGAGACCGCCGGGGGCTATGCGCTGGAGACCGCCGGGGGCTCTGCGCTGGAGACCGCCGGGGGCTATGCGCTGGAGACCGCCGGGGGCTCTGCGCTGGAGACCGCCGGGGGCTATGCGCTGGAGATCGCCGGGGGCTCTGCGCTGGAGACCGGGTAGCATGTGATCTGTGGTGCGGCCGGAGCAGTGTCTGCATAGGTGGCTCAGTTTCTCTTGAAACGAGAATTATTAATGCCGCCTTCTTTCTGAATTCAGTTACAAGTGCTTGTGTCAATGGTTTTATAACGCTTTATCTCTCCAAAGTCCCATCGCGTCTCCGTTACATTCAATTGCTACTCTGAATCTAAGCAAACATTTAGCTTTCACACGGGGACAGTTTCCACCTTTTCTTCGTATCTGACCCGTTTCATCAGTCTGCCCTATGAAAGGAGTCAGTTACCGCACCAGTGGGCGCTCTGCCGCCGTCTGGGACCGGTCAGTCTCGCGCCGGTCGGTCCAATAGCCCCACCACCTGCTCTGAACTCTGGTCGCGCAGTCCGCGCCCAGAGCTACTGCTGACATTTCCTCGTGGTATTCAAAGGGCGGCCGTCTCGCGCCAGTGGCGGCCGGCCCTCAGCGCCTCCCATTATGAACGTCCGGCCGGGAATGAGGGCCACAATGGCGGGATGACGGGCGCGTCTAATGAAGACGCCTCCGGCGGCGGAGGGGCCGGGCGGCCGCGGGGGTGGTGCTGACCGAACACCGGCCGCCAGACTGGCGCTGAGGAGCTGCAGTGGGACAGACATTCTGACGGAGCTGGTCTGACGATCGCCGGCCTGAACCGCTCGCTGTGGACCTCCGCCGCCTGCTGTGGACGGTTATTGACGCTGGAGAACTGTGCTCCACCACAAACTCTGACTCGACGTTCATCCTCGCGAAATGTATGGCCGGTGATTTCGCTCAGGAGTCCCGGGACTTTCAGAGTTCGTGCCTGGAAAGCCAAGAAGATGGCAGTGCTTTGTCAGAGCTCATCAGCTGAATTCATGTTTCACCCAATGTTTTTGTTTTCCATAACGAAAAGAACGGAGAAGACGTGAGCTGAGTCGAATCAAGTGCTGAGTCGATTGCCACCTTCGCGGTTCGTAGCTGGCTATAGCGGAGAATCCGGCGAAAATCCCATCTGCCGCGCGGAGCCGCTGGGTCGCCAGCTCGCTTCTTACAAAGCCCTAAAGCTGGGTCTATCTCTGTCCAAGCTCCTGTGGCTCGCGCGGCTTCAGAGAACAGCCCGCGCACCACCTAACAGGCCGTTTGGAGACGGGGGCGGAGCACTGGGAATACGGTGGAACATCCCGCCAATAACAGAAACGTGAGCACCGCAGAAAGTAGAAACCAGGCATTAGCAGCACTGATGAAATCCTCAGTGACATGCTTTTTTCGTGGAATTTGGTTTAACCTGCCTTCCTAGGCAGCTCGAAATAGCTGATAATGAATGTCTCCTCTCCTTTCATTTGATGTGCAGTGCAGTCCCACTAATGCCATCCAATCTCGCCTCCCACGCGTCTCTACGGTAGTTCACCGGCTCGCCGTTCGTCGTCCTGCAGTTCGCGGCTCACCCGTATGTGGATGTCATTTCTGCTGGGCCGAGCGGCGCGCGGTGGGTGCCGATTTATCGCAGCTGCCTTGCGTGAACGAGCGTGTGGTTTCCGTCGTCGGATGCGGGCGCGCCAGCTGCGGTGCGGTGCCGACCTGTTGTTGTGCGGCCGAGCTGGGACGACCTTCCCGCCAGCGGGTGGGTGTCGATCGATCAAAGCGCCGCGCCGGGCCCGGACGCGCTCTCAGAGTGTCGGGAGTGTCGGCGGCGACACTCCCGACACTGCGGAGGGCCGCTCCAGTTGCTCTCGGCACGGCGCTGATTGGGCGGCTTTGATATGTCTGTGGTTGAGACAACACCCTCGGGACGGTCTGCTAATACAGAGACGGGTCGAGACAGCCTGTGAGGGAATTGCTGGGTCGCTCCGTGGTGCTGACTTCAATATATCGGATGAATCAGTTTGACAAAGTTGCCTTGGGAGTAGTGATGTAGAATTGCTGGACCTGGAATGATCGAAGGAAAATGAAGTGCATTGTAAGTCACACGCGGTGCCGAGCTCAAGACATGTGAATTGTATCGGCAATGTTTAGAGTACCTGTTATACAATTCTAGGACTAGGAATCGCTTTGTAAAAACGTTTAATTTATTCCGTTAAAAATGAATCGCGTCATCTTTGAATGCTTCTTTGCTAAAAGGTGAACTGAAACGTGAAATGTCCTGTGGCGCCATGTCCATCGTCTATTTATACGTTGTTGGTATTCTCCCCACGGTGTTTTGTTTTTCACAGTCCCTTTGATAGGCCCTCTGAAACGTGTTCCATTCCCTGTTCGCGCCGCCGGGTTCTGAGCCGAAGTTGGAGAGATGTGAATCCCCCAGGGAATCGCTGCGCTCTGGCGCTGACGGTCTGTTATTTTCGAGCGTTTCTCAAATGTCACCTGGAGGACGACGACGGCTGTCTGGTGGCCGGGACGGGTCTGTCGGTGGCATTTGGAGCACTCAGAGTGTCTCCTTGTCGCCGCAGAGCTGCGTTCAGACCGGGGACTGTCAATGCAGCACATCCGGGGCAGCTCAGAAGAGCGTTGTGGAGTCGAGCCAGATGATGGCGTATGTCATCGTTCGGATTGAAGTTGTTATCGTCAACCTTAGGGAATGTTGGGCTTTCTCAGTGGCAAACATCGGTATGCATACACCTGAGTGTATGCGTTTGGCTCTACATACCTATGTCTGTAATGAGACGTTGTATTTAATCTTGCAGATGCCGCGTGCAGTAGGTGTTTGCTAGTTGCACCGTATCTTCATGGTGTAGCTGGTTTTTTAACCGTGCACATGCCTGGGGAGGGGGAGGGGAATACGACATTAGCGAGCTCCGTAGTCACTAATTATTGCGATAGGTATTTTGCCAACTTTTTTTTGTGTGTGCAAGCGGAGTAGTCCCTCCAATGTCTCCTCAATCTATCCTGGTGGTGTAAACCTCTAGCATTAATTGCCATAGGGGCTCAATCGGTGATCAGCGTTTCACGGTTTTATTTGCAAGTCAGTTTTGGAGTGCCTCCCCCTTGGGTGGTTGTACGCAGCACGTTTGTCGCAATTAATTTCAACACTACGAGCCAGCTGAAGCAAACACACATCCCATCTCTCCACGAGCCGTTGTAATTTCGCGACAAGGAGACGCGGTCTTTGTCTTTGAAATGAGGACTAAGAAGCGGCGGCCATACGAGAGCCGTGTCTCGACTCAGTAAACGGAGGAAGAAAGCCATACGAATATAGATATTATGTAATTCTGTGGGATAGGTAGACACTACTATAGATACGAGCTGTGTCTATGCCAATCCCGACAAGAGGCTATAATCATGTGTTTGTGAGGTCCAACCATCCCCAGTGGAGCACCAAGTCAACACGCCCCCACGTCCCAGTTCTATGAAGACATATGCGCGCTGGGGTTGCTTTCTGAAGTCGAGTCGCTGGTATATGGAAACGTGTTTTCCAAACAACTCAATATTGGCTCTCCTTGAATGTTTTACATGTGTGCCAGGTAGTAGAGATTCAGGTGGCTTCGAAAGTTCTGGATGTTTCTGCAAAGCTTTCAGGATTGGACCAAAGTTTGTGCCCAGTTGTACAGCGAACAAAGTTTAAGTGCATTTTCAGTTGTCTATTGAAATGCGCTGAATGGTGGCTGCTGCGACATGATGCGATATGTGAAGGTATCGAATGCAGGTCTTTATTTAGTGCACGAGCAAACATGGTTGCGAAGTTTTCCGATGACTAAACATTTTCGCTGTAATGACAAACAAGTATGAATGGTGAATAGACGCTCTGAAAGGCTGGCGCAGCCGACTATTAGCTGGTGCATTAGTGTCAAATGATGTCAGAATTGCGAGCTATTCTAACTTCGGGTCAAACACGCTGTCTTTCAGTGATAAAGTTTAGGCGCTCAAATATGGTCAAATATGGTGGTGCGCAGGCCAGTGATGGCTGCAGAAAGTGCGATCATTGCATTGTCAACCCTTATTCCTCGCTGTCATGAGCCAATTATGTATGATGCTTCAGTCGATGCCCTCAACATTATCAGCATTACCACTCTCATCCTGATCACATCCTGATAACCTTCATCCTCATCCTCTTCATCGTCTGACGCGTCGCTCGTCTGCCGGCAGGCTGTCCTGGGGCAGCGCCCGGGAGCTGTCTCGGGCCCGCCAGCGCAGCCAGCCGTCACTCAGCCGGGCGCGGCTCTCTGTGCTCGGTGACTCTCTGCTACAGACAGCACCGGCCGGAGGACTGGGCGCCGGACCCGCACCCACCGACCCCATCGGGGAGGACGACGACCCGGGTGGACAGACAGAGGAGCTTACGAACGGTGCTGGTGCGGCTGAGCGGTCCTGTGGGGTGTCAGAACGCCCGCCCGGTCAGGGGAGTTCTCCTGACCTTAGGACTCCCGGGTCACTACCGGAGAGGTGTACGCAGGCCGTCCCTGCCGACAGCTCATCATCCGTGTGCCGCACCTGTGCCGCGGCCGGCCGGCGCTCTCCGCAGGCCGACACCGCCTCACCGGCGCTCAGAGCCCCCGGGATCGCGCTGTCGCCTTCAACACCCTCACCTCCGCCGGCGTCACCATCTCCGCTGCGAGTCGGCGGTGCGCCGGCGGACTCGGCGAGCCTGACGTCGGACAGCGCCCCGCCGCCGGCCGGCGGGGAGACCGGTGACAGCGAGGCCGACAGTCTGGAGAGTCCCATCGAGCTGGGATCTGACAGTGAACTGTGAGTACCGCGGGCCGCTCGTGCTGAGCTGAGTACCGTTGGCCGCTGGTGTAGCGAGCGATGCTAGTACCGCCCGGCTCAATGGCCCATTCACGGCAATCCCAGCGATTGCGTGCGACGTTAAAGGCTCAGTTTGTAGTGGAAATAATTGGAGTGACTGCAACCTGCACAGGCTCGCTAGCGGGGTAATGTTTTAACGGTCAGTAGCTGCCAAAGCTAAAGGACCTAGTTAGCAGTGATACAGATTTGTCTTCTGCTGTTTATTAAACGAGAAGCATCGCTCCTCCGTGCATCGAGGTTTAGCCGTTTCTTTTAACCCTGAGTGCCTATGAAGCTAAAATGCTTACATTTATCGTGAGAGTTATCGATGAGGATGTTTCAGTTGCTGGTTTTAGTAGCCAGTAGCCACCTCTACTCTACTCATATACAGTAAGAGAGGGAAAGTGGCACTCTTTTGTCCATTGTTACGGCATTTCAGGCGCATGCCTTGCCTATGTGTCCCCTGTATCACAGAATGGAAACGTAACTCACCTCATGATGTCCCGTGTCACCGCAGAATGGGCGCGTTTATCGAGCACGAGGTGCAGCGCCGAGTCACCGAGCAGCTGGCCGTCCAAGAGCAGCGGCTGCGCGCCGAGCGGGCCCACCAGCAGCTGATGAACGAGCGCCAGCTGGCGCGGCTGCACTTCACACACCAGAGGCAGATCCGAAAACTCAAGTAAGGCACGGGGCGCACAGGGGCCTGGGCTGCCGTCGGCGCCCTAAAGTCCCGGTAAACAAATAAGTACTCAGTAATGCGTGGCGGACAGTCCCACCAATAGCTAGGATGCTACTTGCTTTATGATATGCCTATATATACTTTTTTGAGGGGGTCAGACAAAGGGTTGTTCAATGTTGATCTTGTGCAATTTCTATCGCAAGCGTGGCTCATAATTTGAATTATGTACTGGCGGCATTTGATATGCCGTCATGTACGATCTACAATGTTGTGCCGGGTTTTGTGGCTATAAGTTCGACAAAAAAGTCGATACTTAAACTGTCCTTGGCTGGTTTCCATCTTACCGCTGAGCCCGTCTTTGATTAGCTGAAGGCGATATCTCTTTACAAGGCTAAATTGCTTCCAGGCATATGTCTTTGTGATGGAGAATAGTGCAATATCTCTTTTGAAGCTTAAGCTCTTTTTGAATTACCGGGACCATTACTCATAGTCGTGTAATCAACGGTCTTACATAAGCATCATTATGCTAGTGTTGTGTTATCATTTTTCCATGCATATCTGATGATGATGTATCCATGAAAATGTAGTTTTTATAGATCATATCTCATGAAAACGGACTTTCTTGATTACCATTCCCATTATACGAAAAAAAATGTCTGGGAAAAGCATGCCTAATGCTCCTGTATGTTTGTTGTCGTTATTTTCGTCTACAAATGGTTTATAGTGCTACCATAGGCTTTCAATTTGTTTTCATTTCGACTGTTTCAGTTCCGGCTTTCCCAACGCTGTGATGTGACAGTCTCGCAGAAAAGAGCTCGAATGAGCACGCAATTCACGAATTCGGATTGTTGGCACTGCTTCGTTGTATCTCCCATTTACGTTTGACCAGACCAGTTTCAAGTCAGTTTTGTCAGCTCAGTGCTTTGAATTGCCTCCTTTTTTACACAGACGTCGACTTTTATCTACCTGCGAAAAAACGCTTTGGCAAAAACGTATTTTTGTGACGCGAAAACTTTGTCCAGTTGCGTTTTTATCGGCACTATTTCTTGACACTCGTCTGCGTAGCAGCATCCTTCGACGCAAAACACTTTGCGTGCTGATCCTGTTATGGATTATTGACCGGAGTTGTCCTTCATTCTTATACTGTCGCTCGCGTTTCTATGGACTTTTGTTCTGCCTCACGGTCGTTGCGCCCCTGAATAGCCTACACATATTTTTCTGCGCGGCGCGGCGGCGCCTCACGTTCTCTGGTTAAACAAACACGCCCGCCGTATTGATATGCATTGCGAGCGCGCGTGGTCAATAGATGGCCGGCCGGCGGACGCGCGGCGGCGCGGGGCGACCACTAATGGTGGCACCCGCCGCCGGCGCGGCACCAGTGACCTTTGGGCCGTGTGCTGGCAGCGGGGTCGCCAGAGAGGTCGGCGGCGCGTCGTCTATCTTGGTGACCGATGGATGAGACCGAGAGGAGGGTCTGGTCTCAGATACATACACATTCAAACCAGGGATGGTCGCGAACTGATAATAAAACGGTCACAGGAGTGGCAGTCCAGCAACACATACGGTCCCCATACTGATACCATGTCCCATGATGTCCCATGATGCCGGCATACCCGAATACCACGTCACCGATTTTCGTCAGACCAGCTGCCATAGATTATCCTCAGACCATCTGCGGATGGAGCATTTTATTCCTCAGTCCAGGAACCTATACCTGCAAACCGTCCTGGAACTAACGGGCACAGCCAGGATCTCTCCTATACATATCACACTGCGCGATCGAATGCATAACTTCAGGCATTTGAACACCGCGTGAATTGTACCACACTTCTCCCCCAGGCTCTAGCGCTTGGGCCAATAATTTATTAGGCTCCATTCGGGTGTTTAATAAAAGCATCTCGAAACAAACGACCGGCGGCATCGCTGTTTTTGTCAAAAAGAAAATAGTGTTTCCCTTTCTGAACAGGATGTTCGTATGCTTGAAAGCCAGCGTTGAGCTCAAACCGTGTAGGAAAGAAGATACCACAGTACCCAGCAATAATGAAATGCATGAGGCCTCATGAGGCTTGCGTCTATTTTGAAAATTTCTTCAGAACAAACTTTCACATTGTTTTGCTCATAAAGATAACGAATGATGGGGGAGTTAGCGATTCCAACCGGATAAGCGGTGTACACATAAAGAATAACGTGCCTGCAGCCACGTCGCAATACTGGGCAAGATTTGCTGGCTTATTTTCAGTGGTTACATCTCCTTTACCTGATGGAGGCGAGTGTCTGACTTTTTGCACCTGTCTGTGTCGGCAAACTGTCTGTCTCGCTCTCTTCCAACCGTCTGGTCGGTTTTTCTCTCGCAGAAAAAGCGACACTAAATATGCCCTAGACACTCGCAAAAACAGCGTATGTTGCAATGCCTAGGGTACCTTCGGGATAGCGACCCGGAACTGTTTGACCTACAGCCACCCGAGCACTCAATAATATTGCAGATAACGAGTCGGAAGTGGTCGTCCCCAGCTCTGGATGTCATGGATGATGGTTACTGCCGGACCTTTTCGGATGTGGGATGATGCCGTGTAATGGTGTCCCCGGGGTCGGCGACCATTAATCTCGCCCAGAGCGGCCATTGCGCTCCGCCGTAATGCCTTATGACGGTCGGTGCTGCCCGCTGACAGGTGGGGGGGGGGGGCGCTGGGAGGGTGACTCCGCTGTCAGCTGACAGTGTCTGAGGCTGTCTGCGCTGTGGTGGAGTTGTCTGCTCGCAGTTCTGCCTGCTGGGGCTGGGATGGCACTGTCTGATAACACAGGTGTCTGCTCACAGTTCTGTCTGATGTGCTTTGATTGGGTGGTCATGCAGGGCTGCTAGCTTTTGCGAACACATTTTCTTTATTCCGCGTTTTTACCCGGAAGCGCCCGCTCTCCCTTGTTCCATTGTAGCGCTGGGTAGTGGACTTTGGTAACATTACTTTCTCCATACTGGCTGCTTTCCCTCTTCCCTGTAATATTTATTCGTTGATTGGCACTTATCCTCGAAGGTCACCGTCCTCTTATAGAATTGTAAGCCCTCCCTCTGGCCAGAAGGGGAGCTCAGGCCACCGACTAGTCTATTTTTCGCCGCTGTCTCGTCAATGTCGACCGATATAACTCTATACCGCAGATTATCCCCACCGCTCCGCCAAGCTGAGCTGCCGCCAAACTCGGCGGATCATGTCATGTGCTGACGTGGGCTGTCATCGGTCCAATGATGTAATGTGCGATATTGTGAGGTCACGGCGGAAAACCCGTCAGTGCCGCTGATGACCATGTGATTGTCGGCCGCTGTGTAAACTCATAGCGCGATACGGCGCGGTCAGTTGACTATGGGTCTGCGCGGCCCCGGACATCGGCAGATCCAGGGGGCTCACGAGTCACGGAGGCCTCCTCCTCACAGCGTCCGAACTTTGTAAAAGTCGCCTTTCTCGAACAGAAAAGGAAGCAGTCATTTTCTGAACTGTAGGCAACAGTGCTCTTGCAAAGACGCAACACGTAAAATTAAACGGAAGAGGAGCTTTGTTTTGACTCGGTTAAACTTTCCTCTCCCCCTCCCAGCGTTTGACTCAGCCTTTCTGGTCCGCTACTGGGCACTGCCCGATTTACAGTGGTGGGTGGATGCCTCATGGATGGCGCGCTGCGGTTCCCGAATGTCTGTCTGAGGATACGATCCAGATTCCACATTGTGGTCGAGTTCTGCCGAATTTGATGGAGGATATGTGATATTGTCTGGTTTGTCGGAGTTGCCGTATGGTGCCTGGTGGTGCGAACAGATTTAGGTCTGTTTTGACCACTGCCGCTCCCAATGTTGTGGGCTAGATTGGTTAAGCCTCTAGGGAGCTATTACTTTTCCTTCGTGGTGCTTTGGTCTGTAGGTACTGGGCTGCTGGAGTCGGGCAATGATCGTCGGTGCCAGTGGCCTACCATTCAGATATCTGATATCAGATATCAGATGTGTGGTGATGGGCACTGCGTCTTGTGGTACGCGGGAGCGCCCATGGTGGTTGAGAGGCTGATCCTGCCATGCGTGTTCTTTTTTCTTATTTTAGGAAAATTACGATGCTTACATGTTAGGACCCAACATTTACCCTTCGATCGATCTTACGTGCTGTCTGCTAGCATCGGAACGAATAAGAAAAATACAATGATGGATGATTCGTCTTACTGTCTTGCGCTCCTGCCCTTATTACCTTCTCACTTAGTGCCAGGGATTTTTTGCCAGTTCCACGTCTTGCTGGTCCTCCAGCATCGACCTACTCAGCAGATATCGCGGATTATCTGTTAAACTGTGGCTTGTGTCGGGATGGTAGTGTCGCAGTTGGAAATTTAGGGCCTGCTGGGACCTCAAGTGTTTTATTTGCCTATTTATTGGGACGAAAAGCAAACGAGCCTGTATGTTTGAAGGTGAGAGAGCAAACCGTTGACATCTTTTACAGTACGTTTTTACTTGATTCGTTAGTTACCATTACCATGCAACCAGGACCTTAGTTTTTGTCAAGTGAACGTTGCATTTTTTCTGGTGGTCATTGGATTTACCCTCCAGCTTGCTGCGACCCTTTGAAGATATATCCGTTTCTATGTGATTCTCTAGATCATAATATCCCTCTCTCAGTCGCTTTCTCGTTACCTGGACAATTCGATTGTCTGGCTGCGCCTGCCTGGCCGTTTGATTATGTCGAGACGCCGGTGCCGTGCAGGTCTGGAACGGGCGCTGAATACGCTCACCGTTCAAAGGCGGCTGGTCGGCTCAGTAAGTACGGTGCGGCTTCTGTGCCGACACCGGTCGGTCGGTTCGTACAATTCGATTTGGCACAGTGAGGTGGCAGGTGTGCCGCTAAAACGTGACGCGGGATCAGGGGATGCGCAAGTCACCGGCGAGACTGGAAATATGTGCCGCCACCAGAAGGATCGCTGGTCGATCGAGGGTAGTGATTCACGGCAAATCGCGCCCGAGATGATACCTGGCTCATGCCATGCAAATTGCACGAATATTAGTAGCAAACTGTTGTTAGCAATCGTCCACGATTCCAAAACGCTCTATTTGTTACCATTTCTTTCCATTCCATATTCTAATTACATCTAACCTGACACCGGATTGCCCAAACAATATCCACCACACAGCTAAATTCATCAGAATCTCTGGTCTGTTTCAAAGAAGGCTCATTTGCGTGATCGGTAAATTATTTTAATGCAGTGCCGGTGTGAGGGCTACTTAGTACTAAGACATAATCGAACTTGTTCACTAACTCAGCTGGATTAGCGAATGGTGCTCACTCCCGAAAAGCTGGCTAAACGTGTTGTTTCTCGGCGTATCTAGCTGCCCTGAATGGCTCGGTCAGTCTTCATTAACTCCCCGTGGAGCTCATGAGTATGAACGAAGATAAATAGTCCGTCGTATCTTGTAAGTCTGCTTTTATATGGTCTCAGCATGTTGAAAGTTGATAATTATGTAAGTTGCACTGCATCACAATGATGACGAAAATTGACAGATATTTAGAAATTCCATAAATTTCTGAGCTATTGCTGATTATCAATGATGTTAGAGATGCTGAAGGGTACTGTGTATTCACTCAGATAAGCGGATAATCCAGCTTCAGGTACTATGACACTGAAACACTGGTATTGACCGGCGGGACACTGACATTGACACACTGACACTGATACTCTGACACTGACACCGGTACTCTGACACTGACACGCTGGCACCGGTACTCTGACACAGACACCGGTACTCTGACACTGACACTGACACGCTGGCACCGATACTCTGACACTGGCACACTGACACCGGTACTCTGACACTGACACCGGTACTCTGACACTGATACCGGCTTTCTGACACTGACACCGGCTTTCTGACACTGACACTGACACCGTCCAGCGGGCGCCGCGCCGGATGGCCGCGGGCCGCGCTCTCAGTCTCGGACCTCTGATAACGCCACTCCCGGCCAGCTCGGCGACCCGACACGGCGGAAAATCACCTCTGACGCTATCGTAACGCGACGGAGGCCTACTGAACCGGAGAACGGGACGACCGAGCTGTGGCACGGCGGTCTGACTGTCAGAAACTGCTGCCAGAACTGATACCCCTGCCAGAACCGTGTGATACCACTGCCAGAATTACCTGATATTGCTGCCAGAACTGCCTGATATCGCTGTCATAACTGATACCACAACCTGAACTGTCTGATATCGCTGTCACAACTATCTGATATCGCCGCCAGAACCGTCTGATACCGCTGTCAGAACAGACGCTGATCTGGAGCTCGGAGGTCTCTCAAGCTCGAGCATTTTCCTTTGCGCCTTGTGCTTGACATTCTTTTTTCTTTTTGTCTGTTTCAAGTGTTGTGCCGCCTCCTTTACCTAGTTTCTATGTGTGGCTGGCCATTACGTCTGTGTACTCTGCGTTTGGTAAAGAGTGCTGTGTCTGACGGACTGACACTGTGCCTTTGTTCCAGGAGCGCACTGAATGGCATGTACAGCAGTGTGTCGACCCTACCGGAGCTGGGGAGCGAGCCTCTCACCATAGCAGAGGAGAGAGCGGCCAGCACACCGCGACTTAACGGTGAGTACCGGCCTCTCACTAGTACGCTGCGGTGAGCACCAGCCTCTCACCATAGCAGAGGAGCGAGCGGCCAGCACACCGCGACTTAACGGTGAGTACCAACCTCTCACCGACGCACTCAGCGCTCGGTGCTCACCGCACTGCGCGGAAAAAAAAAATGATTCGTTTCGTAATTGCTACTACCATGGTCACTGACTGACGCGGTCGTTCGTTGCTCCTCTCCGCAGACGCGGTCGTTCGTTGCTCCTCTCCGCAAATGGTCATTGTTTGCTGTCCTAGGGTCTACGCTCTCCACCACAGTGTGTAAAGTATCTGGCTGAGGACCGTTCCATTCTTGTCGCTGGCAGGGTTTTCGCTGAACGTGTGCCGAGATTTGAGCCGGAGTTCATTAGCGGTGGTGTGCTGTACGTTGATCAGGGTGTGTTCGGTGGTCGATCTGTTAGACCGGCGTCTTCCCAGCAGCGTGACTTATGCTGGGAAGGTGTCACGCGGCTGTCTATGAGATAGGCGCAACAAACCACTCGTAGTCGTGACCCTTTGAGGACTTCTGCTCGTGAGGATTTGTAATCGTCACTTCTGAGGATTCTGATTTTACTAACGGTCGGATGTAATATTGTGGACCGGCACTAACGTGAATGCGGCACATGATATTACGTCTTCATGCTAGCCCTTGCCAATACTCTTTTGTCGGTTCGTGTATCACAAAACTCATAAACCGTATTGGCCTTCCATATTTTAGCTTCCTCCATAGCTCGCTAATCATCCCAATCCTCTTTGGAAATGTGGCTGAGCTCTGCGGCTGCCGGTGGCCGTCCCATTTCCGTCCTGTCCATAATTCGACCGCCCACGGTTGCTGAGTCTGGACCTAGAACCGGATTTGCCTTCCTATTTTAACTGCGGCTCGTTAAAGACAACGGCGGAAATGTCGGCGGATGACGGACGTGGCTGGTTGGGGTACGGTCTGGGGCGCAGGAGACGAGTGCACTGACGCAGAGGTTCAGCCCTGTCTCGCCGTCCATTGGTACACTGACCGACGGGCTGTGGCGAGCACCATATGGCGCAGTAGTATTCTGGCTAGCCGTCCTGTTTGTTATTGCTGTTCTGTGCTGGCCGGTGGGCGCCCCGTAGTACTGAGTGCTGTGCTGGAGCTGGGTCAGTACAGCGCTGGGCGGGGGGTGTCCCGTGGTAGTTTTTCCCTATGCCAGGTGCCTATCGATCCATTAGTGCCCCGCGTTGTAGCTGCCAGCCCACCCCTCAGCTATACCCTCCCCTCCCCTCTCCTCCCCTCCCCGAGCTGTGGCTGTCTCTCCCACGCTCCTAGGCCATTGCTACCTCGCCCAGAGCTGCTCCGTCCCCCTAATTCTTCCTTAGCTGTGATTTCCCCAGTCCCCAGATCTGCGCCCCTATCTCCCTGGGCTGTGGTGCCTTCATCTCCCCCTAGAGCCGTAGGGGAGAGTGGGGCACATTCGTGCAAAAAATTGATAAACCCATATATCTGTTCTTTGGTTAGTGCAATGGCAAAATTGTTGATTGTATGTAAAAATTGTTCCATGTAGTATGGAAAGGAACTATTGCAGATAGTTTTCCTCTTTAAAAGTTATCCTATAAAATTATTGTTTCCATTAGAAAAAATGACTTTTATTAACTCTGAACATTTGCACGAAACTGCCCCACCTATGGGGCACATTCGTTCAAGAGATGGGGCACTTCCGTTCACCCTGCAAAATTCGAGAAATTACCGGGCATCACCAGAAATTTACCAAAGGAAATTGGCAGGGGGTCATTTCACTTGATTCCTTTCGACAAGAATGCATTGCACAACAAATGTAGAAACAATGGGCTGGCCAACAAGAATGTGCCAACTGCCGGCCTCCGTGACCTCGCCAAGTTCGCGTGAATTGCTCGTCACGACGTCGCAAGCAGTCGAGACTGAGTCAGGCGAGCGTCATTAGAGAAACCTACTACAGATAAAGTCATAAATCGCAAAAACTTAAAAAAATATGCACGAATGTGCCCCCAGGCAGTGCGTACACGAACCTGCCCCACAACGTTATTAGTAATATATTTCAAAATTTCTTTTTGAAAAAATGACACTTTTTCAACAAACAAGTTTGCAGCAGTTCCGTGAATAGAGTGGGCTTCTTCACCCCCAATTTTGAAAAGCTGAACCACATTTCCGAGTCAGGATCACGAAAATGGATGATATGAGAAAAGTTTGGAAAGCTCACGAATATTACAAATTTGCGTTTTTATCAAGCATGACAGCAGGTACAGTGTTGTCTTCTACGGTGAACGAAGGGCGGCAATGATAGACATATTTCCATAATTTACCTTGAGCTCGTGCAGTCACTCGTGTTCCCATAAACTGCTGAAAACGAATGTGCCCCATGCACGAATGTGCCCCACTCTCCCCTATTTCTCTCTCCTGTGGCTCCCCAGCCCCCGGAGCTGCATCCCCTCTCCCCGGGCCGCGCACCTGCTGCAGCTAATGGTGGTAATATGGCTCGGCTCTGCCCGGCACAAAAACGTCATTATCGGCTATTTCTGGGGCGCCGCCCAGCGTCCTGGGACCGAGCTCGATGGAAACGGGCAACAGTGGGATGGAAACGGGCAACGGCGGGCATCATCAGAGGTCCTGCGGAGCGGAAATGGCCTCCAGACGGCCCACGGAGGAAATTGTTTACCCGTGCGATGTCGACTCGTTCAAGCAAATGTTTTTTTGTGCTTGACAATGTTTGGTTCTTCTGACTCACCAACTGAAACCTTGCTTTCAAAAGTGGGAGTGAAGGTCTTCTGTGATGTAGCAATGTTATTCGAAAATATATTTTTATATTATCTAAGGGTAATTCCAATGATAGCGGCAAACTATGATGGGCAGATTTACAACGCAATGACCCGCCCTGAGCAGATCCTTTTCCGCATACCCTGAAGTCCGCCGTCCGATCGGGTAATTTCACGTTATTTGGATAATTTATAGGCTAAAGTTTTAAGTGCTGACAAGGCCGGACACGCCTCATCCGACTTACCAACTTCAAGTGGCTGCAGCTGCTTCCAACAACCATTTTCCATCCCCCTCCATACGTATTTTGAGACCAAGTACGAGTATATCGAGCGCCAAAGCGAGTTGAACCGGAGGTCTCGCCACTGGTAATCTGACGTTCTTGAGCTACTGGGCGGACGGAATGAACTACGGAAGTCCACGTGTAAAACATCAGACTGAAAGTTGAAAATGCAACTGATTTTGTATTCCTTTCAATTATGCTACTCTGCTTTTATGTTACTTTTCATGTGAGTCTGTTACTTTCTATGCTAATTTACTGTTTGATGACGCATATTATGCTGTCAATCAGATTACCATTTCATGGTATTCCGAGTAGTGCATCGCCTTGATATTCAGCATCCGACCTAACTGAATCGAATTCGCCCAGCGTAATTGGGTATTACCGGGAGGCATCACATTGGCTGCATGTCAATGTCGGCTCGGGCTGAACAGAGTGAGGCGCCGCCAGCCGCCTTATGGGATGCCGGGTGAGATCACGGTGGTCAGCGATCTGCTGGATAGGATGGAATGGCGTCCTTTGGTCAGCCGGAAGGGATGGGATGCCTCCCTGTGATCTTCTGAACAGGATAGGAGGATGGGACGGCGCCTTACGATGAACTGTTGGATGGAGAAGGGCACCGCATGGCCGTAAGGTGCATGGGTTGCACTGAGTCTCTCCATAGATTCCAGTGATCCATAGTGGGGCACGCTGATCACATGGCATGGTGCAGTTGATAATGGTACGCTTCTGAATAGTTTTCTACTAGCTCATAAGTTATGTGGTAGGGCGTCGTTGCGGCCTCCGAGTGCCACCTCTCGGTCCCCTCCCTTGCGGTCTCGGCCCGGACAGTAACACCGCCCCCGGACCGGACCGGCGCCGCCGCGCTGGTGTCCCGGCCGGCCACCGGTTATAAATGACCCCACCTTACGTGCCACGTCGTGAGCCATCGCCGCGGCCATTGTCTGATAACAGATGGATCGGACGCCGCGCTGGGTCGCCGTGGCACCCGAGAGAGCTGCCTTGGTTTGGGCCTGCCCGGCATGAGCAGTCGGCTGTGTAAATTGGTAGATGAAATTAAATTAGAACAGTGACGCTATCCAAACTAACTATCGCAAATCCATACGAACTTTAAGATAGTGTTAAGCTTTAAATGAAAGATAATGTGAGGTAGGGCAGCACGGCAGTCTGTGCCACTAGTGTAGGGCCGCAGCTGTCAGTATCCCTATGGAAGGGCGCTGCTGACTGCATCCTTAGGGCAGGGTCATAGCAATTCGTGTCCCATTAAAACTTGCCGTCCAAGTCACTTTTTTGTTCAGGGGGCTTCGTTATGTTTATGTTAGCCGTTGCCCGTAATGTGGTGCTTCGACTGCTTAAAAACCAGAAACACTGACAATGCTGAACGCATTGATCAGGCATGCAGTCTGAGCGTCATGCTCTGAGTTCCCGATGACACCGTCTGCCAACTGTGGCTCCGGGTGAGACTGAAGGAAACCGCCTTTGATCCGCCATCGATCGCAGACTGACCGACCGCATCCCTACACTACGACTGCGGGCGGGGGCGGCTCGCGCTGATTCGGTGTGGGCGGGATCGGACTCCCCCGTCCCGTCTGTAGCTGCCACGCTGAATGGTTTGGGGGCGGTAGGTAATGTGCTTTTATCGACACTGATCGGTTATCGTCACCAAGGCGTGATCGGCAGCGGGCTTGATGTCGGGCTTCACGTGGCACGGGAAACATTTGACCCTGAAACGTACCCAGGGTCAGGACTTGATAGCGGCGTAATTTGCTGTAGATGGCTACGATATCCTTTGGACAGTAAATAATATGGGGAATTAAGCATACTGAAATGCGTCGTCCCTACGTTTTGCGTGGAATGGTTGTAATCACCATATGAGAGTGTTTGTTACAGTTGTAATCAGCCGTAAGTATCTATTGGTATTTTTATCGCATCAGATTGCTG